CAGCACTAAAATATATGTACATTTGCTAAAATGTGGTTCCTCCCCCCTGCCTCACCTTCTTCTCAATGTAAAAACTGCAGGGGTGCCCCTCGTCTACCAGGAAGCTCAGGAGTAGCGTTTACTGTTATCCTCTCTGTGGTGGTGGCAATGCCAATCTGGACTCTCAGGCGGGCCAGCAGCTGAAGCCTCATGGCAGCTCCTTCCATGAAGCCAAGCTACACTGAGGCACCCCAACCTGCTGCAGCCTCTTTATGGTCTGCCCTGTACAGCATCTCCTGGAACAAGGAAGTCCACTTAAATGAAGTGAGCTATATTTGTACTTCATGTTTCAGCCAGGGTCTCCCTTTTAATATTAAGTTTGTATTAGCCTTCTTGCCACAAGGCCCTCTTTCTTTTCACGGCCTCTAGCCGCTGCCACACAAATCGAGAATTTGCAGGTTAAACACTAACACATGAAACACAAGGCTCTACAGCAGCATTTAACCCTCATGTGTATTTTTAACCAAGGCTGCTGGTATCCTATTTTATCATCTAATTTGACTAAGAGCAGATCTAATTAACATCATGGTTTAAAGTCTGAGAGCCATCAAAATATTTCCATGATCCTGTACTTGCTGAAAGAACTGCAAAAGCCATAATAGTGGAAATTAAAAAAAAAAAATGTTAATGGAGATGAGGTCACACAGCAGACCACAGAGACCTGAAAAATTTCAGCTTTTTTGCCATTATTAACATGTATGTGACTTTTACTTTCAGATGAACACCAAATACAAACTGTCCCTAGGTAAATACACAATGAAGAAGACAGACACAGCGAAGAACACAACCACACTTTAGGTATGGTAGTCTAATGTACCTTACAGTAAAACTGAAGTGTCTTGCCTTACCTGGGTTTACCTTGGGCTAGGCTAATAGTGGTAACTACTTGGCCTATTTCAGCAGTAGAGACTACTTGCAGTTTAGAAAAATAAATTAGACAGTTAGCCATCTATACATAACAAAATTATTCGATCATTTTTCAACGTACTGTATTTTAAGTGATGGTTGCTAGCATCTTACATTATCATATTGATATACAAACGCAGTTCTCACTGTGCAGAAACCTAATACTGGGTTTATTATTACTGCCCTCCTTATAGGATTTTGCAGCATATTTTCATCTCAGTAAGTTTAAAACAAAATGAAATGGTGTGAGAACTATAACAATAGAGCTAATTGGGAAATCCGTCAGCAAGCTACTGATTTATGAAAAGGTGGCTTTTACCATGTTTTATGAAGCTCTGGCTCATTCAATATGGAGGGCATTAAAAATGCTGTGTAAACTCCTGAATAATAATAACAAGGTTCCTTGGGTGAATTTGATATCTTTTATTCGACCAACCCAAATGGTAAGATGCCAAAAAAATACTGAACTATCAGCTAGAATTGCATACCCTCTTAATCACATGTAGGTCAAAGGAAGTAATTTCCAGGCTTCCAAATACCTGCTGTTCTCAGATACTTTATTCACATTCTGCTGTGTTCTAGCAAACTTATTAGGGACCAAAAGCAGGGTGGATTTGATTTAAATCACATTGATTTAAACTGCTGGCCGGGAAGTCTTGATTTAATCACCGTTTTCTACAAAAAGTGAATTCTTGTTATTTGATATCTTTTATTTATTTAACTTCTTGAAACTTTGCACTTTTAGAGTGAGGTAAGGGCTTTGACTCTGCACACAAACTTGCAGAGAGACAAGAGGCCTGATGGGTATGTAATCAGGTCTGTTATCTCTCATCTCCATATTCTGCTGTTAACAAGGATGTTATCTCTGGAGACACAAATCCACAGTTTGAGAACTGAAAGTAAGCATCACAGAGATGCTTAATGGGATCTTCTAGACTAAGCACTAAGTCCCATTGGGTAGAATGGTTTTCTTTTGATCTTTACAACTCTATAGAGCAGCCTCTGGGAACCCCATAAGATTGGGCCCCTAATACAGTCTATGGCCTGTTGTTGTTTTAAAACTTTTCTAAAAAGGTTACATGAATATATTGTCTCAAATTGTATAAAATTAGAAGTTATAATCCCTATTGTATGATGACATCTTTGAGCTTTAAAATATCTTTATTAAAACTATACGTAGGGTGTTTAAAAAAAAATCTTAACCAAAAAAAAATCAAAAACATATGATTAAATAAAAAAACGATTTAAATAAAAAAATCAATTTTTTTCATTTAAAAAAAACCATTGATGTTTATCCACCCTTACCAGAAGCACTGTTCCTTAAAAATAAATTAAATAAATTCTTACATTATATGTTCAATGCCAAGATATCCAAGCACTTCATTACATTTAAGAGCTGTTGTTTGGATTAGGTTCAAATAACAGGCACAGCACAGAAAATAACATTTTGGAAGTATCCAAAATAAAGTTCTCTTTAAGAAGTTCTGGGTAAAAAAAAAAATTCTGGGACATGCCTGTTTAGATCCTCACTGCAAAATTTCACATATGGAAAAGGTAAGCTGTAAAACACAGGTCCTTTTATTCAGTCAAGATGCCATCAGGTTTAAGCAGCAAACAAGCTCTATAGAAGGCAAAGGGGCACTGAATTATCTGTTTCCTGAGAAAAATCTGAGGCGTCCTTCAAAAATGAAACATGGAAATAAAATAGTCAGTGTGGTCAGGCACTCCCTTTACAGTGCTACCAATACCGGGGGCAGTAGGATGCCCTGGGTTGCCATCCCTCTGTAGCTGCCAGCTTTTTGAAGGATACTACATAGTTCCTCAGAAAGTTAGGGACAATCCTTCAGCAAACACCATATTAGCTACCATGAACATCATATTTCTGTACACCAAAATACCCCAACAAAGGTAGGTTACAAGCCATAAGGGACATTGTCCTCAACAATAGTACTGCTTCTGTTTCTACTACGTTCTCCTGCTTTATCCTCACATGCAGCTATTTCAGATTTAGAGACTCCCTAAACCTACAAACAAACATCACTGCAATGGGCACATCCATGGTTTCACAATATGCTAAAATCTTTATGACAGATCTTGAAGTCAGCTTCCTCTGCAGCTGCCCTCTCAAACCTCTTGCATACCCAAGGTATGTCAATGACTTCTTTATGTGGATACGAAGAAAGGAATTTCTACAGAAATTCCACCAACGATTTAACAGCCTCCACCCCTCCATCAAAGTGACCCTTAAATACTCCACCCAGCAAATGTATTTATTTGACTTGCACTTCATTTTGTAAAACTTTGCAATGGCTACGTCACCACTACACGGTATTGGAAACCAGCTAATTACTTCAGCTACCTCCACGCTACCAGCTTTCATCCTAACAATTCAAGCACAAACATAGTCACTCAAAAAATAAATAAATAAATAAAATAAAATAAATCAGAGCCAGATTCCACTACAATACCAACCCATGACAGGACAATAGAATCCCTTTGATAATTACTTACAATCCCCAAATTGAACATCTTAGACACACCATTAATAACTTCCAAGTCTTCCTGAAAATGATGACCAAGGATCCTGGATTTCTCTGATAAAAGAAAAAAAAATCCAATTTTCAGATTAGAAAAGTAATGCAAAATCCACATTTTTCCATGATTACAATGAAACTCCACTATATAGAGATATTTCTATACTAGTGGAGTTTCATTTTAAATCGTGGAAAAATGTGGAATTTGGGTTACTTTTTTAAATCTGAAAATTGGGGATTTTTTTTTTTTTTTAATCAGAGAAAGCCAGGATCCCTGGTGACCATCTCAAGCTAGCCTCAGGGGGGCAAACCTGTCTTGGCTTACAGGCATTGCCCCCTCCCCCAAGTTTTGGGACCTCCAGCAACAGACTACCTTACTCCAACTCTCACCAAGTCACCAGGCATTGCTACAGACTCAGATGCCAGCTGTACCCCCTTCATCAATGCAGCACTGGACCATACAGCACTAATTATAACATCTGAGATTCATTCATTAGCTCCTCCACCAGCATCATACATGCCATCATTTTTTAAGGTGCCCTCTGCTGTCTACACCGGCCAGACAGGTCAATTCCTTTGTAAAAGAATGAATGGACATGAATTCAACATCAATCTCAAAGACACACAAAAGCCTGTAGTAGAACACTTCAGCCTCTCTAGATATTTCACCACTGAGCTCAGAGTAACTATCCTTAAACAAAACAAATTGAAAAACCAATTTGAACACAAAATTATGGAACAAGAAATCATCCATAGACTGGATGGTGTTAACCAGTCTCAACAGAGACTATAGCTTCTTATCCTGTTACCTGGACAAGGCTGTTTACTCTGGTTTCCCCCAGGGGGTTAACTGCCTGGTTCATCTTCATTGAGCTAAGCAAACCACTTCTTACCTCTTAACCCTGTCCCTTGTCCCGTGCATTACTTTTCTATATAAAGCTCTTTCTATCTGACATTCCTTTCTGCAGCATCTGATGAAGCAGGTTGTTGCCTATCGTTTGAGTCCATTACCTTTGCCCGTGGCAGGGAACCGGACTTGATGATCTTACAGGAACCTTCCAGTTTCCTTCTATGATCCTAGGATTCTATAATGCTCATGCCTCCCAGTCAGTCTGTGGTGCTACCCTGCCCTACCTTCTTCTGCCTGTCTTCAGACTAAAATGGCTAGCTTACTCGAACCAGCCCTAGAGACTCATTCATGCAATGCTCAGAAGGACAACTATTTGAAAGAGAACAAAAGTTCCTAGAAGCCTTTTGTTGTTGCCATTGTTAACTGCAGAGCCTCATTAGGAGAGTTAATTTACACTCCAAGAAAGCAGCACAGCAGCTATTTGAGACTGAAATGCCCCCTTCTTAGGGGTAGATATGGGGGAGGGGGTGCAATGGTGCAGTTGAACCCCGCTTTGATTCCTACTCCACCCAAAGTTTAAAACCAACTCCCTGGCAGTGACAGCAGCAGCAGCATTTCTAGTCAGGCAGTGCTGAGGGTGTCAATTGACTTCATGGCTCATTATAACCTACCCCATCTCTTCTAAACTCTTCATTCCACTGTTAGACACCCACTCTTCTTTTGAATAGTCCTGATATTTCTCAAATCAAGCTATCCTTTCTTTTGCGAGTCTACTGCCTGTTCACTGCTCCGGCTCATGAAGCTCCTATTTCCCAGCCCTGCAGACTGTTTTTAACTCCTTCTAATTAAGTCCTATTCGGTTTTGCTTCAATCTCCAACTGAATCATACAGCTCTAGGTCCCTGGTGTTTTAACAAAGCTTTTAGTTTATTTTCACAACTGGAGAAAAATACACAGTTGAATTACATGTCAGATTACACCTCCCCATTTGCACCTTGCTTTGTCAAAATCCTAAATCTGCCTATGCCCCTGCCAGCTGCTCATGCTGGAGATGAACCATTTGGATGTAGAAAACAACACAAAGAACCTGAGGAAGAAGGGCTTGCCTTCAAAAGTTTCCATCCAGCAATGCAGCTGGTCTCATAAAAGGTAGCACCCTAAGCAATCCTGGTCTCCCACATAGGCTAAGCACACGCAGTCAAAAAGCCTGAGGCTGAACCAATTCAATCTTCACAGGCTTGTGTAAACTGCATAGATTGAACGGACAAGCAGGTGAACAGACTCACTTTTGATTCTGGAAATGCAGTCACACGCCTGCAGTGGCACAGGCCAAAAGCCAGGAGGCGCCAGAACACACCTCCCTGCTTGGTTGGAGCAGACAACTTTGGAGGAGGCTAACCCACCTACCCTGCGGACTGTGAGTTAACTTGAACCTGGAGGGGATCCGGGATAGAAGTTCAATTAGCCGATTTAACAGTTAAGTCTGATACTACATCCATCCAGGTTTATCTTAAACCAGTTTTGCTCATGCTGAAAGCAGTTTATGCGCACTGGACTTCTGTTGTGTTACAGATTTGAATGGATTTCCTATCACTTATACTGGTTTATGTGTAATTTCTGTCCCTAGCCATAACGCCTGGGCTATGACAACACTCTGACACCACCAAACCCGACCCCCATGTAGACATCCCGAAGCAGAAGAGAAGTCAACCCAGCCATGTACTAGCTTCTTGTTCAGCCACCTGCCAGAGGTCAGTCTGTTTAAGATGAAGGGACTGAGATCTGGATAGGGAGGCTTCAAAAGAAACACCTTAACATCTTGGACAGCCCTGGGCGGGACTGTAGGATCTAGCCGCATGGAAAGCTGTGATCTTTACATGTGCATACGGGGCAGATGCAATCCACATGCTGAGCAACACCGGCCCTAGCTCAGAGATCTGGAAGTGGAAGTTGTTATGGAGAGGGGAGGGTTCCCCAGCTACAGGCACCGTGGGCCTGCCAAGCGCCCGATGCCCTCCAGCGAGCTTGGCACAGGGCGGAGGGGAAGCACAGCTGGGAAGGTGCAGCTTGCCCCGGCCCCGGGTTTGCAGCAGGGGCCGCGCTCAGGAGACCAAAGCACAACGCGCAAAGTTTCTGCAGAGCTGCAGCGCGCAGGGGCGGGGACGGAGCGGCGAACAAAGAGGAGCTTGTTGAAAGGAGCGACCCCGCTGCCCACCTTGCCCCGCAAGCGCCTGCCCACCTGCCTGGCCGCCGGCGGGGGAAGCTGCCAGGAGAGCCCAGAGCTCCTCAGCCGCCCGGTCCCGGCTCCGGCCCCGCTGCGCGCAGCCCAGCTCAGACCTGCTCAGCCGGCTCCTCTGCCCCGCTGCCGCCCGGCCAGGCTCCAGCTCCTCAGTGGAGGGGAGAAGCGCCGCCCCTGGGCTCCGTGCACAGGAAAACTGGGTGTAAACGGAAGAAGCGGGGAAAGTCCCGGCCAGCTGCAGGTAGCGGGGCGCCGCATGAGCGCGCCCGTGGGCAGAGCCGGGAGCGGCGCGAAGCCGGCCCACAGCGCCTCGCTTGGCTTCTCTACACATATACACGCATGCATGCATGCATACATATACACACGCACACAAACATACATGCCCTTGTGTTGTTCTAGCAGACCCGTCACATTTTGTCTACCTGAAGTTCATGGTATCATTTGTAGCGCACACTGTATTTCTACTAGTATAGCTGAACCCTAATGAGCCGGCTTGATTATGGAAGAGAATCTCTGTGGAGATTTTATACATATAAACTTTGTGTGTGTGTGTGTGCGTGCATGCGTGTGTGTGTACACACAGATATATATAGATAGTTAGCTAAATACATACACATGAATGCCACCTGCCCCTGGAGGCTGGGGGAGCACCTTGAGCTCCTGCAGGCACAAGTGTGACAGCCAGAACCAGAGGGATTAGTAAGCAATAATATGTGCTTCTTGGAGGCATTTGGTATTTTGCCTAAATAGGTAATATTAGTTAATATACGCTTGTAAGTTTGTAAACTGCAAATGTAACTTGTCTGTCACAAGTTTAACCAAAATGATAAATTAACCGTTCGTGGAACTGACTGGGCCCCAGAGGCAAAGCTGTAGCTGTGAGATTAGCTGGCCTAACGGTTTTTTGCTCAGGGTTCAACCTTAGCGATAAAAACTGGATCTAACTGCTAGGCACACCCAAACACATTCCAGGAAAGCGTATCCCAAGAAAGCGTATTCAACTGAAGCCTAAAAGGGGTTGGGATTTAGGCGGAGCGATATCAATTTCAAACCTAAAGGTGTTGCATCATAATTTGGATAAACCTGAGTCTGGGTAATAAGCTTTTATGATAATTTTAACACCTTTCAATCCCATAGGGTAACAGCTATAGGGCAACATTGTGAGTGGCCCTGAGGCCAACAGATTAAAAAGACTAGGTATAAAAAACACATGCATCGGGTGGCCAGAAGGAAGGAGGGAACAGAACAGTCATTTCTGTCCCACGCCCGGACCCCAGACTCCCGGTGTGAGTGAGGATCAGATCCTGATCAAGGGATCTTCCCCGGTAATCCCTCTGACAGTGTCGATCATCAGGGACGCCTGACTTCGCTGGAATCACTTGGCGCGCACCTGGCGTTGAGCGACTATCAGTAAGTTGCCAACCCATGTCTGTCTATTTGTTGTTTTGAACAGCCCAGTGTGGCTAATACCCTCGCAGTGCCCAGTTGGCCTGTGACAGATTGATCTATCTATCTATCTGTTATTGTTATCTGTTATTATTTACTATTAGCTCTTTTATACTGCCTTATCTGCTTATCGCATTTATCTTTCTGTTAACTGTTGTGTGTGTGTAAGCTATAATAAATTTGCTTTTATTCCACTCCCAACTTTGCCTCCTCGATCCGAAACTGAATCAAACAGCCCAGTTGGCCTGTGATAAAATTGATACTCACAGTGCCCAGCTGGCCTGTGACACGTGGGGGGCAGGAACGTGGTGGCGACAAGCAGGGAGCTCCTGCAGGCAGCCACAGCACTGCTCGGGGGGCCAGTGCCACCCACCCGCAGGTGCCACTGGCAGTGTCAGCAGCACCTTTTCGCAGGGGGTGCACCGCCACGCTCAGGGGGTGTACCCACATGCACCCCTATGCATCACCAGTGTATATACATATATATGTGTGTGTGTATGTATGTGTGTGTTTATATATACATATATATGTAGGCAGACAAGGTTCTTTGGGGGGGGTGTGTGTGTGTGTGTGTGTGTGTGTGTGTGTGTATATATATATATATATATACACATCACCAATATTTTTTATTAGACCAACTACATGTATATATGTAGTTGGTCTAATAAAAGATACTGGATGGAGATTTTATATATCTCCATCCAATATCTTTTTTATATATATATATTTATCCATTTATCCATCCAATATTTTTCATATATCTCCATCCAATATCTATCTATCTATCTATCTATCTATCAGAAATCTCCACAAAGATTGTGTTCCATAATCAGTAAGGATCATTAGGAATCAGCTATAATAGTAGAAATGCAGTACGTGCTACAAATGTTATCATGAACATCAAGTCAACAAAATATGAAGGTTTTGTTAGGACAGCACAAGGGCATCAGGACTGTGTCAGAAAAAGAAAGCCCTATCTTTTTCTTTTCTTTTTTTTTGATGATAAAGCAGTAGAAATCTGCCTAGAGATTCCCTTCCATCTCTTCCATTTACCTGCCTCATTTTCTGAGATGGGAGTCTGGATATCATGTATCACCTGGGGGGCCTGTGGGCTCTTCCTGAAATATAGCTCCGTCTTAGTGAAGCTAGAAACACCTAGAAGCAGGTGAAGCTAGAAACACCTTTGTCAGGTGGAAGAAAAGCTCTATGGAGACTTCTGTTACTTTATTTTTTACCAATTAGGAGGTTTGTGAGAAAAAAGGGGGCTTTCTTTTCATGACAATATATTTTTCAGTGATTTTGCTTATCGTACTGTTACATTGTTTTATTACCACGTTTCCTGTCCTTCTTATTGCCTGCATTATTTCAGGTGAAGCATTCCCAGATTGTATGAGTTTATGCATGGAATGGTTGCAGATTTTTCCCCTCTCCTTCTGTTTATTATTGTAGCCCCCCTTCCTCCCTCCTGTTTTGCATAATTCTCTATGTGGAAAAGCTTGTGGTGGTTATACCCTCTCCTGAAAACATGGTGCCTTGTTTGCCCATGGTTTGGTTCCCCAGACCAAGTCATGGGAAACGAGATAAATTCTTCCTCCATCATTTGGCTCCATCTGAATACCTCATCCTCATTGTTTGTACCAAAAATATTCAAAAGTGGTAGTTTTCTTCATACACGTATGTATACATACCCAGTGCTTTTCCCCAGTTTCCCAAAAGCCATCCATTAGCCCCAAAATATCTTTCTCGTTCAGAACCAGAGTTCATTTTCCAGCATCATCCAAAGAATCATTTTGGTACTCCTTTGGTATTTACATAGCAAAGCATATATACTTTTTTTTTCTACAATCCTGTGCTTCTCAGGAGGCAGCTTCTCTCACACAGACCTCCTCATGTTCTTTGAAGAGAAGCAGCACAGATTTC